AATGTTTAGACCCAAGCAGTCTTCATTCATTTCCACACCGAGGTCAGCGTACTGCCAAGGACTCTGTGGGCACGCATATGGCATTGTTGTAGCTGGCTTTGTCCCGTTCCATGTAGCGTTCACGTAATGAGGTGGCCTATATCTTAGTGACCCTGTGGCTGGAAGTGCATACTGCATGCCGAGGAACAGATCTAGTCCCAGAGGTTCCAACCGTACTCCTTCGTACGTTCCATTTCGTGTTTCCGCAGTGGGCGCTGCCAAAGTCTGTGCCGAAGAGCTCGGTAGGCCATGTATGACCGGGAGAGAGATCAGTGCCAAATACAAAACGTAGGAGGAGATTTTATCCATATTGGAGACTCGCATCGAGTTGGCGCCGTTGTATCTCGACCTCAGCTTTATAAGCGGTGTGATTGACAAGTATAAGTCTCAAGGTATCGCACGTAAAGGCTGACTCTCGGTAATGATCAGGAAATCGATGTGACAGTCGATGTGCCAGTTGTCAGTCCTTTCTAATGAACTATCATGGTCACTAGAGTACGGCTTCTCTGGCGGTATAGTTCTTCTGGGACATTCTAGTGGGCAGTCCATAATGCTTTTCCGACTTCGCGCGCCGACAAACTAGGTTCTTTCGTATCAAGAGGACAGTAGCACGTTATCGGGCTTGCTGATAGCCTAGATACGATATCCTCGCCGAGGATATGAACCTTGCTTGTTTGGGCTCGGAGGATATCATCGGGCCGAACTTACTTGATTATCTATTCAGCCCCACTTGTGCCAGACTGTGGTGTCTTTCTCAATGCTTGATATGTTCTTTGGGGCACCGACGTCGAAATTGTCCCTGGGGCGAATTGTACCAGCAGCTTATCGAGCGATGCAGTTTACCGCTTGGACTTCTCACGACTGCTGACTCAAAGCTCTGTCGGTGGTCAATGGCACTGAACTTGACAGCTCCTTTGGTCATTTCCATATCTTGCAAAGATAATAGTAGATATGAAAAGAAAAGTCCTTTCACCGTCATCAAACCATAATCCTACGCAGCCCGCTTGTCCCGCCTAGGACTCGTCGACCAGTGACTGCACATCGATCTTTCCCACTTTCCCAGCTACCTTCTCTGCTTCTCGGCGCTTTCGTTTGTGACTGCTCCTCCTTTTCGTCGGCAGCATCATCGTCTCGCTCATCATCGTCCCACTCGCTCATCTTCTCGCCCTTCATAAACGCTTCTTGCCTTTCATGAGTGCCTTCGATCCATTGGAATATGCACCTGTAATCATACACATACCCAGTCTGACAAGCGGCGGCTGTTGATATGGGATGAAGACAAATTGGACAAAGGTCGCTTGATGGTGGCGGCGGCACTGTAAAGATGGGTAAATATGTGATGCTGGAGACTGGTGGCTTGCGTTTCGCGACACTCTGCACAGAAGCATTCTGTCCTGCTCCGGCTTTCTTTGCCAGGTCCATGCCCGATACGATTGGTGGTGGTAACTCCAACCCTTCGGCCGCTTTTCTGCTCAATTGCCGGGAGAAATCACTTGCATGCCACCACTCCAAGAATTTCAACGCAAATATGCTGGTTGGTAATAGAATCCTTAGACTGGACAAAAGTCTAGGATAGAACGTTCGTGGGTGTAGCATGCCACTCAGACCTTGACCTGGTCTGCCCACGGCTGTGCTAGCCTTTGTTGCGGCTTCGCTTGCCGCATCAATGGCTCGGTAGTCGGCGGCTCCCATCCTCCTCATCCTGGTCCCGATCACCCAAAGAAAGGGGTTGGAGTATTTCGTGCCGTCGAAGAGGTATCCCAGACTGAATGCCAGTATGCTGAAATAATACGCGGCATTTAAACTGGGGTAAACGTTCCGTAGAAACCACTTATAGTAGTACATTATTCTTTGCTTTATCGTCGGATTCGTAGGGAGTTCGTCTCTGTTGAGATATCGTGGCCCTCCTATACTGCTGCTCATAAGCAGGCTTGTGGTCGGTGCGATGTGGATATCATAGCTTTCGTCCAACTTTCTCTTCAAGTAGGGTATGCCGACAAGGACCGCTAGATTCCTCCAGATATCGGCGCCGCCTAATTTTAATCTTTCGCGCACCTCGTCTGGGACGGCCAGTTGTGTGCGCTTGATCTCGCCGCCATTGATGCTTAGAACTTTCTCTCTCTTCAAGCCATAGAAGTTCTCGGTGAAACTGCCGCCGAATGTCCTGAGGTAGTATCTCTCCACCGCCAGACTGAACAGGGCGTAAACTTCATCGTAGTTATTGAGTATCCGCAGAAGATATCGAGGGTATCTGTGTGTTGCGACGGCTAAGAGGTACCGTAGGGTAGGGGGGAGAAGTGCTGCGAGTTGCTGTTCGGAGAGGAGTTCGAAGAGTGATGGCTTGTGGTCGTCGACATGTGACTGGAGCGCATTGAGGTACTCCATCATATACGGTTGACGTTATCGAGACATGGGCGATGAGGATCTATACCGCATATCCCTTTCGTTCTGGCGGGATCGCATCTGCCTTTTTGCGATTGTGAGGAAGGATGAGGCAGGCACATGGCTGTACACGCGATAATCACGAAGTACATTGTTTCGAGATGCCGAGGTTAGACCGGCTGCGGAAGGTGAGGAAGGTGCCGAGTCTGTCTGTTTCCTCTCTTATCTGAGAGAGACATGTTTATTTCACTCGACACGCGATGAGAAGATGCCGGTTCACTATTCGCAGCTAAGGACAGCGAAGGCATTGCTCGCAGCCTGATGATTGTTCCTGGCAGAGAGAATGATGCCGCCCCAGGCTACGCGGGCAAGTGCCAATCCGTACAAACCGCGAACTCCTCAGCCTCACCAGGATCGTCGCATATCTTAGCATCCTTACAAGGGCAACTTCTTCGAGCTGACCAGGTCAGTCACGGTATAGGATGTCGTAAGGCCTCGCCATGTGACCCTTGTTGCAAGCGCGCTTGGTATCCTCAATCCCGATATATCACTGTTGCTTGACCTCATATGAGAGGCCATCTGCGTCACGACATCAAGCTCCATCTTAGGTGCATCATCAATAGCTTTCAGCGCTTCTTCTCGAATATCAACCACAAGCGCCGGGCTGGTATGATGCTCTGCTAAAGAGGCAACAAAATAGGGTGGCGACCGCCCTCCTCCGGCTGGCTGATAATTCTGAGCATGACAGCATTCCCAAAGCGCAGCAAGCACATGTCCATCTCTAAGAGCTGACATTAGAGCTGACATATCGCAAGAGACTCGTACGATGCTCGCGAGGAGAAGGCTGTGTTCCTTCCTGAAACCCAATACAACCACAAATGATGCCATCTTATTCGGTGACCATGCATCCGACTGAAGGATAGCTACTGTGAAAGCCTCCGCAGGACAAGCCGCGGGTGGTTGTGTACGCGAGATCAAGTCATATCCACTAGGTACCGATCGAACATAAACGATCATTTCCTTCGTTTCAGGCTCCCAGGATGATTGCGGCGACACATACATTCTGACATCCGTGGGTTCCGTGAGATCCGATAACAAAGAAGGTATAGTAACAAGTCCACTGAACCTATTATCCCTACATACGCCTTGAACGGACTTGGTCGGTTTCTGCAACGGAGTCTCCTGTTCAAGAGGTCCAGGCACATGGAATAGATCGCAGTCGTAGTTAAAGGGTTGGGCGACTGGGACAACCAGAAGTCCACCATCTGGTCCATAGCATTGAAGTATTGCGTAGATTATTACTCGGTCATTGGGCCCGTTGCCACGCCATTCGGCTTTGGTTAACCCAAGCGTTATTGCCAAACCCTTATTAGTCATGTGGTAAGGGTCATCGCCTACTCGTATCCGTGAGATCGATCCTGAGTGCTTGAAGTTGGCCGGTGTATGGCTTAGAAGTCCACTTAGTAGGGTGTCATAGTTAGTCACAAGAGGAGACCAGGCGAAGATCGATTGATCATCAGAGGTTTTGATGATCTCTTCTTGCAACCTGAGGAAAGCTCTAGCTCCTTCGCCATAAAGAAGCGGCATATTGACATCGAATAGTCCCAAGAGACAATAGGCTTCATCCTCGAGACGGGTTGTTTCCCTCCTAGCTGCCCATGACATTTTCATAGCAATACTGGCGTTCTTCAACTCCCCAGACAAATACTGGTAGCCAATGCCAGTGATTGCTATAATCTGTTGATCCAGCGATCGATCGTGCGGCAAAGCTTGAGCGAGTCCTTTCCTCCCGAGGTAAGACCAATTTGCTGCGAAGAAAAGAACATGACGCGGGGCTATGAGCTCTTGAAGAGTCCATCCTCTAGTCCACCAACGACAGGACTCAAAAGGAATGAACCCCGTTTCTGTGGTGGAAGTCGGTCCGTGGCAAGGATCAAAGTCTTGGAGGTATACATAGCATACTTCAGCATCTCGATACCAACGGTACATCGAGTTGATTGCTTCGGATAATTCTGCACTGCTGCTTTTGTCAATGCAGCATGTGTCAACCCAGATATAATCCAAGCCTTGACCCAGAGCTTGATGGGCACAGTTTTGAATCTTACTATACCCACGGCGGCGGCGGATGGCGTCGGCGGATGCTTGTGCATCGTGTGCTGCCTTTGTGTTCAAGAGTTGGAAATCTTGGAAAGATACCTCATGTCCAATTTTTCACGTGTGGGACAATATTGCATATTTCGGGGCATGTAGCAGATCAAAGTCCTCCAGCTGAAGCGTGGAACAGCGAACAAGACGCATCATTGACGACGGCGACGAGAAGAAGACCCCTGAGCAGGGAATCTATCCACAGCCGTGCCAAAACAAAGGGCGGTTGAGGCCTTCTTTTACAGTAACAAGCCAATCATTCGAGAGGCAGGCAGCAGCTAACAGCCCGTTATTGAGCAAACGGCATTGCTGGTCACGTGCCTTGTGCAGCTGTCATATGTTTGAACCACTAAAATTTGTCAGAAATATGCACACGATTGGACAGTGTAAGTTTTCAGTTTGTCTCTACAACTGGAACATTAAACTAATATATTGAAGTTGGCCGAGTGGTTAAGGCGGCAGACTCGAATGGTCTATTTGCTAGGCGTTATCGTAATCTGCTGGGTTCGCCGTATGTCTACTCATTAATAGAGTAGAAGAACGTATACTGACCTTATCATTAGCGCACAGGTTCAAATCCTGTAGCTGTCGTGCTTCTTTTTGTCCTTCCTTTTTGCTCCTCTGGCTAAATTAGAAGTGGAGAAGCGAGATCTAAACGGGAGTGCAGCGATCAAATGACGGGCGATGGGGCTGATGATGGTCATGAGCTTTGTGCAGTTGCTGACAGAATTGAATGATATATATTGACAATATTAGATACAAAACGTTCCTCGAGCCTCTATTCGTAAGAATGCTTGCTCGCCGACTAGGCGGAAAGCCTTTGCTGCATGATAGCAAATTTTGTGGTATCGCGCCACAAGTTAGCCGTGTGTCGGTACATAAATGTGCAAGGGGTTATCGCGGATTCGCAATCGCCTGTGTCCAGCACGGCTTCGATCGATTCGGTTGCGGTAGCGAGGTAGGTAATGTACCCGATAACCCGAGCATGTCCTGCATGTCTTGTAACCCGCGAACACCCTATCTGCGCATGACGTTGCACGTGAAAACGATGCCATCTTTCTTCATTCCACGGGTCTGCTTCTGGATGACACAGGTAAAGACGATGCCGTCCTTAGCATTGCGTGGTGCTTGTTGAGAAGATCGTGCCATTATAGCGAGTATTGTAGCGAGTCCTGGGGTGGTTGGAAAAGAGCGTGTAAGAGTTGGCCTAGAAATGTGTGTGTTCTGTATTGGAAGGTGGCCAGCTATCGACACTAGAGGAAGCCATCTTTATGTTCAACCCTTCAACAAAGATCAGATCAAGAAGAGCCATCAATATACTCGGGTAGTGGGATTGATGTCGTGGCAAAGATCGGAGAACAAAGAAAGATGCAAATGGTCGGACGAGGCTGAGAGAAAGGGGTCCGGGCCTTAGTATTGTTGTCGCTTAGTATTGTTCTCTCCTCCACAAAGCATTGAGCTCGAAACTTCCACGCGAAGCAACATATGCAATTGGAAAGATCAGAGCTATGGCGTCAAAGGATTGAAAGAAATCTTGATCGTTCCAAGTATGGAACAAAAATCGACAGAGCACGTAGCCTGCCATGGATGCGGTTGTTGAGCGCAAATCGATCAATTCAGACAGGGTTGATGTCATTGTATGTCTCAATATCTATACAACGAGCTGTATCTAAAATCGGGTAAATGGCAACCACTTTCCTCGGAGGTTGATGTTGACCTATAGTATGTTAGCCATTTGCAAGCCTTCGTTTCATAGTCACTTACCCATGTATTGCCATCCTTGTCCACCTCCTTCTCAACGTGCGTAGAGAAAGAGATGGCACTCATGATACCATCTCCGAACTTCTCGTTCAAAACAGCCTTGTATGCATAGCCATAGTTTTGCACAATCTCGTACAGACGGTAGATCAAAGGCTCTCTGGGAGGCATCTCAATGCTCTTCCCTCGGTCCGGAAATCCACTCATCTGCTGCTCCAGTGTCGCGTGATCAATGTCAAAGTACTCCGACAAGTTCTTGATGTCCTCGGGAGACGCCTTTGCCTGCCCATAGAACAAAGCTGCTACTGCAACCTCATCTCTGCCGAGCTTTTTGCTAATCTCTTCAAATGTAACCTGCTTCTTTGCTTTTGCCTCGAACAAGGTCGCGGAAGAGGAGCGGAGGCCGGGATGTTGTTGGATCTATGCATGTCAGTTTCCATTCGTCAGCACTCAGGGATATCCATACGTACATCGAGGGTTGCTAGGGAGGTGCTGTTGGACGCCATTCTGTTCAACTGTAATGGAACGATTCGTGAAGACCGAAGCGCAGCTTGTTTTGGGCTGAGAGCTGTAGTAGTAAGACGTTGTAGAGGACGCAGACGAGAAGACATTTTGACGGCACTAGAGGGTAGTATATATAGGCTAACGACCAAACCTCAGGTACCGTGGAGATGTACACTTTTTACCTGTAGTATTTGTATTTTGTTCGCTGTTGCGGAGGGGCGTCATTGAGCATGGCCCCGCATGACTGCATCATGAGCTTTCGGCAGTGGAAGTGATAAACCCTTAGCCGCAATGCATCATCATGATCGCAGATAACCCGGAGATCATATTGATCGACTGGGTCTCGGCTTACCCCGAAGCGACCTATGTTGACCAAACGCGGACACAGGAAATCGTCGAGACACCGAGATCGGAATGAGTACCTAGGTATTGATGTGAATGGTAGCATTGTCTTTGTGTTGACAACTATCGTGGCCGTCTTTAAGCATTCATAAATGGGAAGCTGACCGTTGACCTCTGGTCCGGGTGGATTTTCAGGGGCATTTGGCGGGGTGATAATGAGGCGCAGCTGCCTAGAGCCATCTTCTGATTGGGGGCAGCTTACATGAGGCTTAGCAGCTTCACTCCAATGAGATGTTATTACGAGGCCTGTATGCAGGTGTTGAATGAACCAACTCAGCTGAAACATCACTCAATAGACAACATCACTCCCTCACTTACTCATTGTCAGGCACCTTAGATTCTCTCTTTAGATGCAGGAGGTCGTTCTTGACCTTGTTCAACCGGGACACCAGTAAACTCATCTGTCCAGTAGAGTCCAACATGTCTTACCAACCACCGCCGGAAGACGACGGCCTCGCTTATGGGAACGACTATTCTCAGTCTCGAGGAAGCGGTGGACAGGGTGGTTCGAATCGATCACTTCTTGGAGGTACCTTTCAAAAAATCAAATCCGATCTAGACAAGTTCAAAACTTCGTCATCATCGTCCTCTCAGCCGTATGCATCCAATCAAGCTTACTACGGTTCACAAGGCCCGAATCCCACGTATGGAAGTTCTCAACCATCATACTCTGGTCAGCAACCACAAACCACTGGTCCAGGTACAACCTCTTCTCAGCAGCCGTCCTATGGCCAACAAGGTCAGAGTACTGGTACAAGCACGCCGCAACAATCATATTATAACCAACCAGGCCAGAGTACTGGAAGCTATTATCAGCCGGGGCAGTCGCCATATGGGGAAAATCCAAATTATCAAGGAAAGCCGGACCTTGTCGGAAAGCTTTTCGGCACTCTGCAAAGTACTGTCCACAACATTGGCACCGATGTAGCGAGCTTGGTAGATCCCAATTACAGGCCTTCTTCACAATACGGGCCTCAACCTCCTGGGCCAACCGCCTACCCTACCTATGCCAACACGCCTGGTACACCCGCTCAACCGCCTGTGCAGAACCGTTTCGACAGCTTTGCATCCGAAAAGCCTGGGAACGACGTCAAGTGGTATGTTGATGGCTGCGGATACTTCTGGGCCGTGAGTCAAGCACTTGAGGCAGCGAAGCATTCTATCTGGATCCTGGACTGGTGGTTGTCTCCAGAGCTGTACCTACGCCGACCCCCATCTCAAAACGAACAATGGAGACTCGATCGCACACTCCAGAGAGCTGCCCAACGGGGTGTCAAAGTGCACATTATCGTGTACAAAGAAGTGACACAGGCTTTGACTCTGTCTTCTGCTCACACCAAACACGAACTCGAAAAGCTGTCACCTAATATTTCCGTATTCCGCCATCCCGACCATCTTCCAGACCTTCAAACAGGACAGTCGTCCCTGATATCCTCCTTCGAAGGCCTCAAGCTTGATGCTGCTGGCGCTTCCAGACTTGGAGCCGAAGCCTTGAAAGGCATCTATGGCATCACTGACGACGTCATTTTGTACTGGGCTCATCACGAAAAGCTCTGCATTATCGACAGCAATGTTGCTTTCTTGGGCGGTTTAGACCTATGCTTTGGTAGATGGGACACAAATCAACATGCGATTGCCGACGCCCACCCTCTCAACGTTAATGAGACGGTATTTCCCGGTCAAGACTACAACAATGCCAGGGTTGCCGACTTCAGCGATGTTGTCAACCCATTTCAGAATAAACTTGATCGGACAAAGAGCTCCAGAATGGGCTGGTCTGATATCGGTCTATGTATCCAAGGATCGACTGTACCGGATCTAGGTCACCATTTCATCGACAGATGGAATTTTATTTTCGACGAGAAATACAATGCCAGAAAGGATCCGCGCTACTACAGAATCATAGATGACTATCCTCACGCATCCTCCGGCCTCGCACAGCGACCTCAAGCTCAACCACGTCCACAACAGCAAGCCCAGAACTACCTCCAAGCTCCAGCACCGGGCGCCGCTTTCCCGCCACCACCCGGAAGTCAACCGTACAGCCAACCAGCTTGGCAGAGTACCAGCAGACCACATACGCCAAATGCAGACCCTTACCACAATCAACCGGCCACAAACCCTCCACCTTACGCAGCCATAGCAAGTCCGTTCGGGCAGCCCGCACAGAATCCACCACAAAGCACAACAGGCTCTTACGCTCAGTCCATCAACTCGCCTGGTCAAGTGCCACCTCAACCTCTGGCGGGCACCACTGGCTATAGTCAGGTCGGCAGTACGCCGACACCATCCCAGACTCCTGGTCAGGGAAATACCAGCGGCTACGGTCAGATTTCGAGCCCTCCATATCAGGAGACGCAAACTCCGCCCGTCAACACCAGTGGAGGATACAGTTCTACGCCAAGTCAACCCTATCAGCAGAATTACCCACCTCCGCGTCCGATATCCGGGCCACAGCCGTCTCCTGGTCCAGCACAGGACTACACAGGATATCAGCCAGCCCCTAGTCCAAGCCCAAATCCGACTCAGCCGTATTCATCTTACAACCAAGCGCCAACAGAGCTTTCCTCTCATCAAACAACCAGTCAATCCTACCAATCGCCATCCAGCCAGGCTTATCAGACACCGGCATATCAACAGCCTGGGACGGAGCAAGGTCGAGGGATCGAGGGATACGATTCTGAGCAGTCTCGAGGCTACGAGGGCTACGGTAACGGTAACGAGAATGACGGAGGATACGGTGGTGAACGGGGTCTTGGTGGCAGAATCGACCAATACAAGAACGACGGGAGAAGATTGGGGCAGGAACTCTCGTCCGTGGGCAACATTGTGTCCAGTGGAGTTGGCGCCAGATTCAACCAACTGCAGGGCAAGTATATGGGAGGCACGGACAAGTACGGACGGCCTTATAACCAACCTCAAGGTCC